TGAAGTTCTTCAGCTGGCTGTAATTACTTTGAATTTTGTGGCTGTAAAAAAAGTATGCATCTTTTTAATGATCTTTTTCCTTATTATAGGAAGAATATATGTTATTTAGTTTAAAAAATTGAAAAAGAATCAAAACATAAATTAAAAAACACCAGTTGTCTCACCATCGCAACAAAGCATTGTTAATCTTTTGATACATTTTTTTCCATCGTTTCCTGTGTATAATTTTACAAAGTTGCTTATGATGTGATAGATTGAGATGCTCTTTTCTAGAGATTCTTTTTTAAAATTTACCCTTTTACCCAATTTTTAATAATGGCCATCTATAGGCATTGGCACATGGGAGAAACTCTGAAGGCCACTGATACCTCTCAGAACATTTACTGCATGTTTGGCTTTGCAGAGTTCCTCATAACCTTCCAAGTAAAGCCTCTGTTGACTTTACATGGATCCTTTGATACTAAATTCTTTATCTGAATAATCTAAAAGACCTATGGTCTGCATACATATTTCTTTATAATATAAAAAGAATGAGAAACCACAATTTAAATGTCAGTTATATTTGTTTAAGCATTCCTATTCCTGGAAGCTGTACACAAATCTAAAGGATTGGTACTTGAGTTAATTAGTTTTTGGGGTGCTGGTGAATTCTTAACCATTGTCTTAATAGTGCCAAATAGCCTTATAACTTTTAGCTGCTGTCATTTATTACTTAGGAAAATTAATTTAGATTCAAATAATTTAAAGACAGATTTTGATGAGAATATTATGAGCATATTCATTGTCTAGGGAATAGGTATAAGATAATCAAAGATTTTCCACTTCTGAATCAATCTTCTTTACAATTTTCCTTACTAAAGACAAAATATTATTTACTACGTAGAAAACAAATTCTGAAAATTTTATAGTTAATATATAGCTAAACAAGTTTTGCCCTCCCCTAAATTATCACCTAATTATGGGTATTCTGTGTTCTGAGAGGCAAAAATGGACTATGCATCTTATGATATGCTGGTACAGGAACAGACCTATTTTAGAAATTTGGATGGTACATTGCGTCAGCTCCAGTAAACTGAATAATCGTAACCCAAATGGCTCATTGCTTTGGGTCCAGATCATTTCACTATGGACCACTTGCCAGAAGCCCATCGGTAACCTCTCTCTGTTTCTCATACTCAGGCTCTCTAGTGTGGGCGCTTGAATTCATGCTATATGCTCACTCCCCTCCCTTCTTTTATTCTGCAAATAGAAGAAATTTCTACCCCAACCATCTATTTCTAGCCCAGCTATCTCCATCTGTTGCCACAAGAAGTTTAATCAACGAGAAACAGAACATTCTTTGACCTGATGTTCTCTCTCTCTCTTTTTAAGGTTTTTCCAACATTATATTATGAAAAATGTCAGATATATAGAAAAGTTGAAGGAGTTTTACAGCAAAAATTCAGCATCTAGATTCCAAAATTAACATGCCATGATGTTCTCTTATGAAAAGAAAATAAAAGCTGGTCAGTTAAGTCTAAACTGTTGATCAGTCATTTGGAGAACTGTGTTTCAGTAAATTAGCCTGTTTCTGTAATGCTGGGTTAAAAGAAACTGGAATAATCTACTGGCACTTCTGCTTTTTTTTTTTTTTTTTCAATCTAAGCTTGTGGGAAGGTGGGTATGTGAGTGTTGACCAGTGACAAATAGGTGTTAAGACAGTGCAGGTGCCTGAGAGAAGTGACAACATGCAGATCGTCTTGCTGGCACAGCCCACATCCATGGTTCGGGCTTCTTTTAGGCCACTGGGCCGTGAAGGTTCCTTTTTCACTTCCATGTAAGTACTCGCACGAAATGACACAGTCCCTGTGCGTGAGCCAGTGTTATTCTCCACTTCTCTGTGTCAGCCCGATGTATAAGCTATACAGATCTTCGGAAGCGTTTTCACTACGCTTATCGCTAAAACAACTGAACAAAGAGTCAAACAAAACAAGCAACAGTTTTGGTTTGCTGCCACAAGCCAGGGAGAATTACAGGTGCATAAAATGGTAGGTTAAACTCTCTGAACCATGTATTTTAAATGTTACATAAGTGGTCAAGTAAGAATGAAAAAGAAATATGGAGGCAAAACAACTGGAAACTCTGGACCAAGGACTGAAGGCAAGACGGTTAACTCTAGAATTGACCAATCTCATCTCCGGACCCAGAAAAGAGTCTGCAACACAGTAGACACACAACAAATGTTTGTTCAATTAAAAACAGGAACAAATAAATGAATGCATTATCTCAGTGCTGAAGAGACACATTCTCTTTCAAATAAAATGTGCCTTACAAGCTGTGTGTTCAAAGGACACTAGTTCCCAAGTGTCTTTCATTTGGAACTCTCAGCTGGAATAAAGTGAAGGAGTGTGAAAGGTTAACACATGGCTCTTGTGTGTGTGAATTTGATTTATCCAAGTGATCAGGATAGGACTTAAGTTTGAATTCATTGGCAACAGCCAACTTAGAAGAATACAGTGCAATGTGGAAGGAAAAAAATTTAAGGATCACAATAATGCACACAGTGGAGGAAAGGCAAAATATTTGGGCACGGTATGTAAGAAATCCAGAGGACCTAGGGAAGTGCTAACCATGCCACAGATACAGAATGATCTCTAGCTGCCTTCTCGCCAGTTCTCTGCTCTAACTTGGTGCTTCCAAATCTCAGTTCCACTCTCACAATCCCTGTAGTCCACCTTTCTCTCCAGGTTGTCTTTTTGTCTTTAATGATCTGGTAAGTAGGTTACTATGTGGCAACCTTAGATGCTCAAAACTGCAGATGGGTTCCTGGTGATCTCAGACACACTTGTGATGGATCCATCATCCTGCAAAGCCATTTGGAGTTTAATTCCTATTGAACAGAATGGTGACTAGCCAAGGGTTTCTAGAAAGCCAGTGGAGGCTTTCTCCATACATATAAACATTTCAGTGTCATACACCTCATCTGAAGTGTTCACCAATGCTGCTAAAGAATATGTGGATTTGAACACTTAAAAAAAAAAGAATGAATTTTGGCAAGCGTATTGTGGTCACCCTCTAAGAAGCTCGACTTTTTACATGCTGTCTGTTCAGAGCTGTTCTTGCAACAGTATTTACACCAGTAGATAAGCAGTTTTCAAACTTACCTCATAAGCACATTGACTACAGTATGTATGAAGCCAGACTGCTAAACTCATTTGTAACTCTTGGAGTTAGAAATGAACAATCATATTTGAGTCTTCTTCATTTTAATGTATTTTTGAATTTAGAGCTATTTAGAGTTATATATTACATCCTTTTCATGACTCTTAAAATACTGTATTAGCTAAATGTTCACACTTGTCCTTTTTAGCTTTAAAAGAAATGTCACATGCTAGGTTTCTGTAAATGACCCACATTCAGATGTGAACCAAACATAATAGCTTCTGCCATTCACTAGGCAATGAATTGCTTCAAATGTAGGACACAGGGCAGAGGACTTTGTAGATTACTTTGTTTCACTGTCCATCACCAGCACCTGTGGCATAATATGTGACCTGCTTCTATAAACAGTGAGGCCTAAGGCTTTACGAACAGGTGAAACGTAGCTACTCTTTTAATTACATTTTGAAGAAATAATTTTAAAAGGTAAAATTGTCAGACATATTGAATAGCTGTATTGTTAAATCAATCTAACATGTTTCCATCATCACCATATAATGATGATGTAATGATATCAAGAGTATCATAAAATTTCAGCTTTTTATTAAAAACAACTCAAACCTATAACAATTCACACAAGTAGTACATGAGCTTGTATAGTCTGCTTCTAGATTCACTAAGTAATAGAATTTTTTCATGTTTGCTTTTCTCTCTTCTCTCATCCGATATGATCCAGTATTTTCAGTTTGATACAATTCAATCTGATATTTATACACACATACC